AGCCTATAAACTTTTTAAATTAACTTACTTTGAAACTGTTGCTAAAAAGAAATCCATAGGTACTGTTGCTGGCAGTGACAATAATTTAATTCCACGATGTTTGAAGAGCCAATTTGCTAACCCCTTGTTAGCTTGTTCAATGTAGTCCTGTATAACATCGAGCACGGTTTGAGGCATATTAGAGCTTAATGCATCCTGCAAAATAATAATTGAAATATTTTTAATAATTTTCTCTGAAAAATATAAATAAATTTAAATATTGAAATACTCACAGTTCTGTGTTTTTTGCATTCTCTGCAGTCGGGATCAAAGTCTTGTGGATGTGATACAGTCTCGGATACAACAAATGTGGATTGGACGGCAACACAACGACGGCAATTGATTAAATTATTGCGATGTAAAAATTGCATTGCATCGTCAAATCCCTGTTGACAAAATTTCGATAGAAATTCTGGACGTGGTGGAAATAAGATGCGCACGAAACGATTAATATTTTGACGTGAAATTTCTATGCTTGTATTGGCCCAATTAAGATGGAATAATTGTGAACTCTGATCACGTGGACATATGTCACTCTCTCCACAGAATGGGCTAACAGTGATAGTATTCTCGTCTAGTATAGGCAGATTATCAGAGAATGCACCATCCATATAGCGTACACCACGGAAGCGTGGTGGCAATATGCCAGAGAAACCAGGTATGAAACAGGCACATAGTAGAGCTTGAAGCAATTCATCACGGGAATTGAAATCTGATACTATAACGTTCTTGCCATCATGTACGCGTGTTAGTGATATATGTAAACGACCGCTCACACGTTTATGTGCATCTTCGGGTAAGTGTTTTTGCAGACCTTCGAAGAGACATGTTTGTATATTAAAAGATGGACTGAATGGACCTAAAGAGTGGCGACGGGCTTCATTAACAACACGGAAAAAGTCGGAAGTCATGCTACCTGTAAACAAAAAAAAAAATTTTTTTTAATATATAAATAAATCTATTTATGTAAAAATATTTTATAACTATTACAATAAATAAAAATTAATCACATATGGAATGTGTAGGTCACATTCACATTTTTTATAGCAAAGTTGTTTATTGATTGATAAATATAGTTGAAAACTATGAGTAAAAATATATGGGTTCATTTACTAGTTTTTAGTTCTGTTTCTAGGTCAATTACCTTGCTGTAAATAATAAATCCCTCATCTATAACATTTCTTATCGAATTCCGTATGACGTACTTACGTTGTAATCAGTATTTTTAATAAAAGTAAAAAAAAACAGCCTTTGTAATAACAATTTTTTAGCTTATATTTGAAATCAATACAAAAATAATGACATCAATTTAAATTTGTAATAGCAACGAAAATACCTAAATCAGGCGATAATATATATAATTAGAGATGAATGATTTTTAATAAGGAAAACAAAGTAAATAGTTTATATTGCAATTTTTATGGAAAAATAAAAATTTTTATTTAAATGTATTTAGTAATAATTTATTTTGCTGATTATTTAAAAAATATCTTCCGATTTGAATTTTTATGGAGTCGCTTATAAGCCTATAATAAATGTACAAATATTATTGCGATCATGAGATCATAATATACAATAGTTGCAAATTTTATTGTATTATTAAAATTGTACTTGACTTTCTACTTTAAACTAAAATACGCAAATTTATTATTCATAATTCAATGATTATCAAATACTAATATGCACATCAAGGACGTTTCCATTATAAAACCTCTTAAATTGACGTATTTATGAATAAAAAAAAAATACACATATACCTCATGTGTGGTCGTTTTCATTATTAAAAACAAAAATATAGTTAATCAATTTGTAGAGGAGGGTAAAAACTATGCTGATAAGGTGAGCATTTTATGCGCTTCAAGTATTTCTACACACTTCCTATATATGATAAGAAAAGTGAATTCCAGCTATATTCACTAACAAATATAACGTCATATATACCATAAGTCACAGGTCATAAAAACAATTTCATTATCACCTGTCATATATATGTTATATATATATATATATGAATATTCGCACTAATTACATTTAAGTTTAGTTCTATAATAACAAATTTTAAGTTGTTCAAAGGGAATACGTGGTATATTCTACTTTTAATACATAAACTACTTCAGATTAAGAGAATAGGAAAGGGATTCATTACTTTTAGCATATGAAAGGGTAGATTTTGACATTGCTCAGATAAAGAGTGGAGACAGATTGTATAAACAATATAATATAACAATATTTTATATAACAATATTTTATATAACAATATTTTATATAAAAATAATAAAAACCAAATAAATAACGCAAAGCACAATAACAATTCTAATAGCGTATGTAGAATATATAACGTTCTGGATCTCAATATATTACATACTTTATGTATTTATATAATTATTAACTGTAGTATAAGTAAGGTTATGTCTTATAACATAATTTAAACTATTAATAATAATACATAATAATACATTCTATTTCAACAAACCTACCACAAAAGTATAAACATTTTCCAAATTTTAAAAGGAGTAAAGTCACTCTGTTTACATCTATCATTATAGGTCTTGTTTGATAAATAAGTGCTAGTTTGTGTTCCACAAAAAGAGACTTTTACTCAAGTTGTTAGGATTAGACTGTGAAAGAAAAATTCGAAAATTTGTTATGTTACTATCGCCATTCTCCAGTCAAAAAATTAATTACTTTACAGATTTCTATTTCGAGGAATCGACAATGCTAGATATTGTCGGCTTAAGAAAAGTTTTACGATTTTACAGAATACAGAATACAGATTTATAGTAATATGTTGAATGCTGAACAGAAAAGGCATCCGAGTTGTAACAGGGTTTCTAACTGGATATAGCGAATTCAAAAAGCATTTATCGAACCTAGGTATTTCAAGAGATAATAGCTGCAGACTTTGTTACGAAGAAGAGGAAATAGCAGCACACAGTATGTGTCATTCTGTACCGCCAGACTCAGATTTCGGTACTTATCAACTGCCTTTACACTTATAACGGAATTAGCCAACATTTCTCCAAAAGACAGGACATAATGACATTTTTACTGCTACTCGCCTATGGAACTAAAGTTGGTTTGTCACAATAATCCTCAAAGAATACAGTGACATGATAACTAGTTCCCAACCCTTTCAAAAACTAACTATTTATAGTAATATAAGGGGCCCCAGTTTTGAGTCCCACAACTTACTTATTGTCATTATAGTAAAAACAGTATTAATATTAATTTAATGCAAAATGGTTATACAAATATTTCGAAATTTTAGATGTAAATTCGGATATCTGTATTTATTGAATAGTTTGAACACTGAAAAAATAAAATTTATTCTACATTCATTTCATGGAAATTCATATTTAAAAGTTTATAAATGCAGATATAATTACAAGTACATATTATATATATAATATAAAAAAGAATATAAAAGGTAAATAGAATTTAAATTAAAAAAAGTTTTTAATAATGACTACATATTTATTTATCTACACTGAAATAAATTTTGATAAGTATTGTATATAAGTATATATGTAGATCGAATCATCAGTTTCTGACTTCATTTTGATAATGCAATCAATGGGTTTTCTCTTCAAAGGGGTTTTGATAAAAAATTTATGAACTGTACACGCGCCATAAATTTATGACAGCATACACTTTTGCCAAAGTTCATTAAATTTAAAAAAAAAAATGAGAAAAAACCCATTTGAAAATTTAAAACAATATTTGGTCATGCTTATATATTTAAATATATACATATATCAAATACATAGCAAATTTTGTAAATAGTTCTAGAACATTCATAGATTAGATATGAACTATTATTTTTTATGGTCTAGTTTTTGTTATGGAATTACAAATGTAAAAAACAGGGAACTTGACTGCACTAAGAATTATCAAGTACAATAGTTTTATCGGAAACCTTTAGGGGGTCGCAAAAAAACCTTTTAAAAACAACTCAATGCTTTTATAGTTTCTACAGCAATAAAATATATTTATATAAATATAATGATATGGTATGTAAATATGTATAAAAATTTAAAAGTAAATATGTTTTCTTATTAGATAAAAATTTTTTTAAATTGTTTTAATTGTATGATAATGGATGAGTGTTCCCACGAGTTATGGGTCCAAGGTTCAGTATTCTCGCAAATATAATTCTATAGCAATTTGTAAAAATGTTAATAAATACGACATAATTTTTTATTTTGTAATGAGAAAATTGTTACAAGCACTTTTGATATTTACTTCATACACACATGTATGCATATATTAATAAAATAAAAATATTTAATTATAATTATCAAAACAAAGTAAATTATAGTTTGTAGAACTTTTATATTAATTTGCAAAGCAAATTTATTTTTGCAGCCATTATTTTAATTAGAGTGTAATATATATTTATTTCTTAGCTTTATTTAAAAAAATGTTAAGTAAAAATATAGATATTTTCGAAAAAAATTCTTCAAAAAGTATAGAAAAAAAAAATAAAAATAAAAAATAAAATATAATAATAATAATATTGTTAAAAAATTGTTTATTGGTGCGACGATTTGGCGATGAATTTTGATAAATCCGACTATTCAAAACAACTTCTCTAACCACATTATTTTTCTGAATTCTCGAGATATCAGATTTTAATTTTACAAATTTTTATGTGAAAAATACTATAACTAAATAGATGGCGTGACTATTTTTTCTTTGTGTAATCAATATAAAAATTTGCAACAGGAAATTGTAATCAACCAAACTATTTAGATTAGCACAAGTTTTAAAAATCTATGATTAAAATTATTAAAATATTATTTAAAAAAAAATTGATCTTTAGATCTTTGTAAATCAAATAACACAATAAAATTAAATAAATTTGAAATTATTGAAATTTTATGCTTAGAGAAATATTTTCATAAGTTATAATACAAAACAGTAATTATATAATTTAAAATCTAGAGAGCCGGGCTAATAGCTCAGTTGATTAAAACATGAATTATTATTTTTCAATTATATATTAAAAAAATTTTTGATAATATTGAATAGTCATATTCAGCGAACTAATGAAATAAAACATTATGTTTTGAACACATAGTATGTATAAACACATACTTACAATGGGTCAGGTCAGCCAATAGGCCTTAATGGATCCACTTTGGATCGCCGGTATGACCTAATCTAACCTAACTTAAACACATACTTATATACAAAAAAATTTTTATTTAAAAATAATAATTTATATTTTAATTAACGGATTAGTTAGTCTGTTTTATAATTAATATATAGTGTGATCATTATAATGGGAAATTTGATGGTTAAAAAAAATTCAAATTTTATGAATATAAACACATAAACATATTATTTTTAAAAATAAAATAAATTTAAGACAATTAATCTCTAAAAACAAAAATATAGTTAATATATCTTTTTATCTCTTTAATGCTGAACAGAAAAGGCATTCGACTTGGATATTTCTCAATGGACATTGTGAAGTGTAAAAAAACATCTATCAAACCTAGGTGTTATGAGAGACGATAGTTGCAGACTTTGTTAGGAAGAAGAGAAAACAGCAGAACACATTCTGTGTTACTGTGATAGTCTCGCCAGACTCAGACTTTGGTACTTATTAAATGCCTATCCACTTATAACGGAATTAGGAAAGATGTCTTCAAAGGATATAATGGTATTTTTAACTACTACTCGCCTATGGAACTAAAGTGGCTCTGTCACAATAATACTCAAAGGATGCAGTGACGTGGTGATAAGTACCTAACCCGTTAAAAATATAATCTAATCTATCTTTTATAATGAATATTTTGAAATTTTTTAAAATTTTGCCCATTTTATGACTAGAGTAACTCTAGAGTAAATTAAGTAAAAATAAATATCAAAATTGAAAAGCAGTAATAAAATATTCAAATATCTTTAATT